TTTGAAGACCCTTGGCCTAGCTTTTATTCATTCTCACATGCAGCCCTTGAAGACCCAGTGAAAGTCCACTACTTAGGTTTGTTTTTAAAGGCAAAACTAGATGCCAGTTAATGTCATGGTAGGGCCAGCTACTGCTTGATTCTGGAGGAGAAAAAGGATGTATTATCATGAATGTAAAATGGGCCTCTTTGAGGCAGAGGCAAGTAAAGGGTGCTAAATTTACTAGCTAGGTAAGAGCTAATAAGGTGAGCTGTGCGTTCTCTAGCATGGTTGTGGAACGGAAAAGGCAAAGAGACTTGACCGACAGTTACTATTGATGCTTTCGCCTATGCTGCCTCCTTGTGGCCGGTTGAGAAACAATTGTGTTTCTCAACCTGCTTTCTAACATTTGATTTTGGCAGATAAAGTCGTATTGCCCATGGAAGCTTTTGGTGTGTTTACATCCCTGGGGTTGAACGAGAGACTTTTTGCTGTCAGTGTTCAAGAGCTTCACAACTTGGTGAGTGTTCCTTGTAAATACACAACAAGGGGAAATTTCTCACATCTTTTCCGTTACTCCCACCCTCTCAGCACAATTATCAAAAAGGTGAACCCTGGCATATAGAAAATACCTGGAAGAAACTTTACAACACAGAAAATGGATTCCCCCCCCCCCCAGTATAAATGTTACACTGATTTGAAGGGATGAAATCTCTGAAGTTGCGCAAAATTGGAGAAGGGGCAATCTATACCAAGACCAAGGACGGAGTATCCCAAATCAGAATAACAGAATGACAAAGTTGGAAGGGATTTTGGAGGTCTTGTAGTCCAACCACCTGCCTAGGCAGGAAACCCTATATCACTTCAGATAAATGGTTATCCAACCTCTTCTTAAAAACTTCCACTGTTGGAGCATCCACAACTTCTGGAGGCAAGTTGTTCCACTGATTAATTGTTCTAACGGCCAGGAAATTCCTCCTTAGTTCTGAGTTGCTTCTCTCCTTGATTAGTTTCCATCCATTGCTTCTTGTCCTGCATTGGAAAATAGGTCGACCCCCTCTTCTTTGTGGAAGCCCCTCAAATATTGGAACACCCGAAGCTTTATCTGTACCTCCTTCACTTTGAAGCAAGATAGTGATAAAAGATATTTCCAAACTAAATGATTTGTTTAATGTTTAATGATTTGGGTCTTCTGCATATGGTTTTGGAGTTACAGATTAGAAAAAGGAGGACAGAATTATCTATAACCAAAGACATTCCGTCCTTTTTCCTAAATGCCAAACAAACACCCAAAGCTCCTAAAAGGGGTTGCAGGATAGTTAAGGTTGTAGTACAGTTGTGTGCAATGGGTGTGGTAGGATTAATATAATCTTCATTTCTAATGTGACCTGGGCTTAGTGTTCAAACATTTCCTGAGGTTCCATTCCAGGACTCAATATGCACAGTGCATCTGTATATAGCAAAAATGCCATCCTTTCCTCCTTTTGCTTGCAAAGGTGCCTCACCCTGATCAGCTTGGCCCCAGTATTGGTTCCTGGGAAAGTTTGGATTTCATTAGTTCAAAGGACCTGGCCAATCAGTTGACCGAGCATGACTGGAACCTCTTCAAAAGCATTCACCAGGTAAGGGCACTCTATTCGTTTGCTTACAAGGATTGATGCTCCCAGTCTTGCCATGAATTATTCACCCATCCTTGTTGGTATCGAGATGAGATTTCTGACTATTGCTTGGTGCCTAAAGTCAAGGCAAGCAGAGGCCTTAGCCCATTAGCATGCTCGTTTGAAAGAGAAAGCGAGGCAAGGCCTTGTGTCTTAGGGCTGGCGCTTGGGAGAAATTCCCTGACTGTTGTGCTTTTTTTAAAAGGTGGAGTTGATTTACTACGTGGTTGGGCCACAGAAATTTCCCAGTGCAACCACAGCCAATGTGGAGCGTTTCCTGCGTCGTTTCAATGAGCTGCAGTTCTGGATCACCACTGAGCTTTGCCTTTGTCCCGATGTTATCAAAAGAGCCCAGCTGCTCCGCAAATTCATCAAGCTGGCTGCACAGTAAGCATCTACTAACTATGAAAATATTCGGTTAGAAGTGGGTAGACTGTGGGCTGGCAAGATCTGATTCCTTTTCATGAGTTCCTTTAGGTCTATCAGTCAAGACAAAAATAATTACGCAATAAGATACCTTTAGTATCAGCCCACACATTTGTTCTCCTCCCCAGAGAATAGTTTATATTCCTTTCTCAGAAAATTCCATTTTTGTTGGTTTCTTCACCAGCTTTCCTATTTTCAACTTTCTGATTTAAAGCAGTGTAATTCAGGAATCCAGCCAGCCTGACCAAAGGCAAGAGATGGAGTGAGATGTCATCCATAAAAAGCAGGTTGCCTTTCCTTTCCTTGTGCTCTTGCTATTATTAACCATTAGGATGACTCTCTCACTTAGAGCATTGAAACCTCACCTTGTAGATCCTGATTTGCTTTTTGGAGACCCCTGAAAAGGAAGCAGATATTTCTTTCCCTGGTGCTCGAGGAATGGAGCATCTGCTGTTTTTCCCGCTTGCAATTTATAATCAATTTTGTTTCGGTTTTTCCTCCGTATCTGAATGCTGTTTCTGTATTTTTGATTTCAGCCTAAAAGACCAAAGGAACCTGAATTCCTTCTTTGCTGTGATGTTTGGCCTGAGCCACTCTGCCATCAGCCGCCTTTCTAGGACTTGGGAGGTACATTTCTACTCTCCAGAGAAGGGGAAACAGTTGAATCAACGTGTTTGGTTTGAAACTATTTTCCTACATTAACATAAACCGTGTTCAACTTTGTACTATCTTCCAATTTCACACTTGCCACTTTGAAAGCCTCTTCCCAGACCTAACAAAGTTGACAAAGCTTTAAAACGTTGTTCTGCGTACAAATGAAAATTCTACCTATGGGTTTGAAGGGTCCACTCTCTTTTCATGGGTCCTGTTTGAACAAATATAAGTTGAATAAATCCCCCAACTTTCCGCACTGGCCATTTATTGGTCATTTCTGACAATTCTCCCTTTGACTTTTCTTCATATCTCAGAAACTTCCACACAAGACGAGAAAGCTATACGGCACTATGGAACGGATGTTGGTGAGTGGAGAGGTATTCCTTTTGTCTTTGGAAGTGTTGTTTCTTCTCTCATTTTACCCCCACTCTGTTTCCCATTTTACCAATGGGGAACTGGTGCCAAGAGTGTGGCTTACACCAGTTTTATATTAGGAGTTACGGCTAGATTTAAGAGTAGTAGTTTGAATGTTAGTCAGAATATTTACATTTTGACTCTAAGGTGGTCTACAGCAGGGGTCCCCAACCACCGGTCCCCGGACTGGTACCGGTCCGTGGATCATTTTTTACCGGGCCGCAAAGCTTGGGCGCCCCGAGAGAGAGAGAGGGAGAAAAGAGCGCTACGGTATGCCCAGCACCTTCTCCTTCTCCCCCGTCAACCACGCACACGCACGCGCGCAGATAAAGCTGTTGCTGCTGCTGCTGCTGCACCACGACCCGGAGGAACAGATTGAGCACAGGCGCTGAAGGAGCGCAAGGAAGCAGCAGCAGCTGCGGCGGCGGCTGCGCCTCCGACTTTCCCGGGGAAGGTCATTCCCTGACCAGTCGTGCTTCCCGGCCCACGCTTGCACCCCTCACCCCTGCCGCCGCCCACTTCCTCGCAGGCGGAGGTGGGAAGCTGCGAGGAATTTGGGCGTGCTTTCTAGCCGGCTGTGCCAAGTCTTTTTTTTTTTTTTTTGCCCGAGGCTGGAAAGAAGAAGGGCGACAGGTCACTGAGGAAGGTGAGAGAGACTGAGAAGGGAGAGAGAAGCCTGGCTAAAGCAGCTCCGCACTGCTTTAGGGACTAGTAGTAGAAGGTGGCGGTTGGCGGCACTTGCCACCAGGCAATGCTTCCGGGTTTTCGGTTGGAAAGCGGCATTTGGGTGCTTGCGCCTTAGTTTCGTCGAAGGGGGGGGGCGGCTTCGAACAAAGAGCCGTCCCGATGGTAGTGGAGTCTCGCGTTACTCAGGTACTGGTCCGTGGAAGAATAAATAATCGTGAAACCAGTCCCTGGTTCAAAAAAGTTTGGGGGCCACTGGTCTACAGTTTATCAGGATCCTTCCACAGAGAGATAATATTACCTAGGCCGATGGAGCATAATCTACCTAGACCACATTCTGAAATATTCCACACCTCCCTCTCTTTCTCTTTATAGACTTTCTCACAAAGATATGAGCTCAATTATTTGTGTTGGTCAAATTTAGATCTCTCCCTGAATGGATTCAGTGAGAACTCAAGTTCTTTGGCTCTTAATTTCAAAATCTGTTGAGGAAATCTGTCTAGTAGATCTTTTAGTAGATGAATGGAAATCTATTTCTGGACCTCTGAAAATATGAGGAGATGAATGATATGGAAGAGAATCCCTTATTTAAGGAGGAGCTCAGCAAACCTGTCTGGAGATTGGGTGCCACTGTGCAATCCTGCATTAGGGCCTCAACATCATACCCATCTATCTACCCACTATTAAATATTGCCCCAATATCTCATGATATTATGAGACTTAACACTTAAAGTCCAAGTAGCATTGAATCTCCGTTTAAATTATGCAAGATTTTGGCACTGCAGCATGTTTCCTGTGAGAGAGTGATCTAACGAGGCTTAGCTATTTCCCCCCGCCCTCCCAAATATATTATGCTAAATATATAATTAGGGACTTTGCATAAGCATGGAAGCTAGCAGCCCAAAGCTTTACCCTTTTTGCAGCCCTTGGAACCACCTCTTATCTGATACTACAGTTTTCTATAGTATTGCATCATCTGAAGTCTGGGAATGCATGAAAATGTCGTAAAGTAAGTCCTAGAATAGATGCATCCGTTAAAGCTGAGCAACTCCTCCCAAAGATCAGCTCTGCTCAGATTTTGTAGCCTTCAGCTACACCCTCAAAAGTTAAGTGTGGCCATTGGCTTCCAAAAGATTTCTAATTCTTCAACCTTTACAATCCAGATGAAGCCACACAATTGAAAAATGGTTTGTAGGAGCCAACAGTCTGCCTAAAGCATGTTTGATTACAAACATCCCGTCTGATTTACCCTTTTCCTTTCCAGGATCCCTCTTGGAATCACCGTGTTTATAGACTGGCTGTGGCTAAGCTGTCTCCCCCCATGATCCCTTTTATGCCTCTCCTTCTTAAAGGTACAATCACAGGAGTCCTATCGAATATACACAACTGCAGTTTGAAGTAACTGACAGATAAAGCTTCCAAATAACCATAGCTCGTTCAGAGGTTATAAAATATGAAAGGTAGTGCAGCTGTCAAGGTTGAACTGCTTTTGAAATGTTTAGGTCTTATTGCTATTCAACTTGCCAAAGAACTGTGGGGAGGAAAGGGGGGAAAGAATGTAGACAATATTCACCAAGGCCACCAATGCAGGTGTTTGACAGAACTGTTCTCAAAACAAAAGGATGATTCATAATTGGACAGTGTGACCAACCAAGGGTGGCGGGGAAAGAGAAGCTATTGTTTAACTATACAAGCATTGCGTGGGAAAAAGCAGAGTTGGTTTTGATTCTTCAGTATCAAAACAGTGTCTCCCATAAAGTTTCTGATAGCATCTGCTTTTCTTGGGTTCACGAGTTGGACCATTGACAGAAATTAAAATGAAACCAGAGAAACTGCTGGCAAATTAATTCTGCATTTTTGCCTATGTAGATATTTAAAAACTTACCAATAGTGAAGCTCGAGGAACACTTCCTTAATGTTCAAAAGATTTCAAGCCTGTCCTAGAATTACAAAGGGGAAAAGGTCTCCATTTCTTTTTTTTTGTAACAAATGATGAGACGCTTGTGTTCACTTTGCAGATATGACCTTCATTCACGAGGGCAACCGTACCTTGGTGGAGAACCTTGTCAACTTTGAGAAGCTGGTGAGTAGAGATATGGGGCAGGGATAATTAGAAGTAGACTTGCTGTTGTGCTGTTTTGTGAATGAAATAGGCCATTCCGTTTTGGAAATAAAATATTCACTAGCTGGAAAAAAGTACTCTGGTGTTTCTGAGATTTTGACTGCAGGTCGGGATACCTTCAGCATGCATGTTGTGTCAGTTGTCTTTTCAGTCTACAAATACCTTGACTAGAGAAAATAGAGAACAAGTGAATAATCTAACACAAGCCCATATCTATCCTGTGCAGCGCATGATGGCCAAAGCTGTTCACCTTGTACATCACTGTCGGAGTCATCCCAACCGTGAGTATAGAAGAGTGCTGGGTTTGGGGGGAATTGTGATCCGTGAGGATCAAGGGAAGCAAAGCCTACAGTACACTGCAGTTTAGAATGGTTGCCGCAGAGGTCTCTTGCACAAATATGGTGACCTGATGAAATAGAAAGATTCTCTCCACCCCTTCGATTTTGCAAAGCAGTTTTTAATAAGCACGACAGACTAATTTGTAAGGTTCACGTTTCATCTATTTTTAACACCAATTAAAAATTAAAATTTTAGCTCATCCCATTCCTAAGAAAGTCATACATTTGAAAGAGGAAGATTTACGGGTAATCTGAGTCAGACAGTGAGAGATGCATCAAGAGAGAAATAACTTTCAGGCTCGATGTTTTATAAGGATGCTTTCATTATAATAATAAGCACTTCTGTTAGAGCTGGAATGTTCAGGAACATAGAAAAATGTTTTTGTAGATGTCAAAAAGCAGAAATTAGCAGGAGCTGCCTAGGAAATAACACATTCCTCCTCTGCAAACCTCTGACTTCCTTTTTGTATTTTTCCTCTGCTCCCTTTCTTCAGTTCCCCTCTCTCCCTTGCGGAGTCGTCCCCAGTACCTCTTGGAAGAAGCTCGGGCAATACGTGCCTCAACCTGTAAGCAAATGAATTGGGGAAGTGGGGTCTCCTGTAGACTTTTAAGTGTAGACTTTTTTCTTTGGAATCATCAAATCATTGCATGGTTTATATTTCTCTCCTTTTCAAAAGAGTGCATTGGTATTTTCTCCCCACCCTACACAATGCAAATGTAACAACAGCTGCTTCATAAAGACCAGTGGTGGGATCCAATTTTTTTTTTTACTACCAGTTCTGGGGGCGAGGGTTGGTGGGCGTGGCAGGGGAATGATACTGTAAAATCTCCAGTCAGAGGTGGAATTTACCAGTTCTCCGAACTATTCAAAATTTCCACTACTGGTTCTCCAGAACTGGTCAGAACCTGCTGAATACCACCTCTGATAAGGACTATATCCTAACAGAGGTTTTCATGAAAACTCCTTGGAAATAACTATAGTTCCATGACAGAGTTCTGAGTCTGTATGCAAAAGGAACTGGATTCAGCCCCTGGAATCTATAAGGAGAGCGGGTGAACCTCCTAAATCTTCTTGAAAATCTGCTACTGTTTAGGCTGTAGCAGGGATAAGCAACCTTTTGGCTATGGGCCACATAAATACCCCAACTCCGCTCCATCCACAGCTGTCTTCTTCCAAAAGTTGATGAGAAACTTTTAGCAGCATATGTATTTGTGAGGTGTAGTGTTGGAGGTGGGTTGAGCAATTATGAGTCTTAATGCACTATTTGCTCTAAAATAATCTTTGTCTCCCGTACCTATCCCTCAGAAGGCCAACAAAGTTGGTCTCTGTTCTTCAGGAGACTTTGTTACATCACTGGCCACATCTGTCTTCGAAGCCAAAAAAAGGAAGGATTCTGCCCGTTTAATTATTTTCTTGCTCAATATAACTAGGAAACTGTCAAACGTTATTTAGTGGTGTTCTATCCTTTCTTCCTCTTTCAAACTATTATGGATGATAGATTTCCTTAATCCTGGTTTGTGTCCTTTCAGGCTCAGAACAATCCCTCAGCATTCGAAGTCCGGCTGCAACCTGGGCCCACATCCAGCCCTTGAGAGTGATTGACAGACAGAAGGAACTTTTGCGGCTCTCACGAGACCTTGAATCTTGATGCGAGAAGATTGCCCAAGCAAGGACAGAACCTGTGCCAAGGACTGTTTGGGAAGGCATCTTCTTATGGGTTAGGCCAACTCCCCTCGCATTTGGCCAGAGGAAGATCTCAAGCAAATGAGAAAGCTCCTCCTATTCTTGGTGGCACATTTGATCTGTCCTGATAATTGAAAAATAGGTGACATCTCTACAGAGCCCAAGGAATGATGTGTCACCTGCCTCAGGTTTTACAAGCTGCAAAATTTCTGGTGTGAAAGAGACGGATTCATGGAACACTTTGAGTTGCCTTACCGGGAAAGGAGCAAAATCTCCACTTATCAGTTACCAGTGTTCAACAGAAATGTGTTTGTTTTTTTAAAAAAAGAAAGAAAGAAAAAGAAAAATGGGAAGATTTGCTTTGGTGTGTCTGATGAATTGTTATTTTCTGAACTAGGAGTTCCCTCTCTTCTGCCAGGTTTAAATAAGATTCTTTAAAATATTTGAATGGAGCCATTTCCTTCCCTCCAATGGAATTGATTGGATTAATCAGCAGAACACACTGTTGTATTTATTTATTCATTAAATTTATATCTTGCTTTCCTCCTGGACCTCAAGCAGAGTACACAACACTTCCCACTACAAAATTTTCCCTCACTGGTGAAGTAAGCTGGACTGGTGAGGAGATAGTGACTGGCCTAGCAGCTTCTTTGGCATGTGATGGACTCAGAACTGGATATTTCTGCTCCTAGTCTATAGAGCCTTCACTTCAATGAGACATCGCATCTCTTGTTATGTAATGTCAAGTAGGCAATTTGCTAGAAATGGGAGGCACTAGAACAGGGGTGTCAAACTCATGTCATCATGGCGGCGTCATGTGACGTATCGGGACTCCCCCCCCCCGCCCCTTTGCTAAACCGGGCAGAGGCGTAGCCAGTACGTGACGCATCTGGGAATTTGACAGCCCTGGGCTAGAAGGTTGCAGGAGATACTGGAATGCTTCTTAAGAGTGCATACAAGCTGCCTTTCATGCTACTAGCAGCTTTGCCCTTAAAAACTTGCGAAGTTGCACGCATCTTCTGGCACAGCAACAGGTGGGTGTGCAGGAATTAGCATTCACGCGCCTTCCTGCCTTATATTTTCATGGAGACAATAGTGAGGCTGGTTGAAGAGGGTTGTAAAATCTGGAGCTGCCCTCCCACCCCCAGGTGGGGAGCTTCTAAGCAGATGGCAGGCTGAAACAGATTAAAGGTGAGAGTACAAACATCAAGAAGTGGTTGGTGGCTGCCCGCTTCTGTTTCTCTATCCACAGAGTGAGTGTTTCAGTTTGCCTGAGACAGACAAGGTGTTTGGTAGGCAAGTTTAAGGTAATGTGACTTTTCTGTCCGTCAATGAGCTCAAAAGGTTTTCAGGTGGGGCAGCCTACCCCTTCAATCATGGGACTCCAGGTTAACATAAGAGACTTTCCGGGTACCAGATCTTCTCATAGGGCCATGCAACTGTAGATTAACCAAGTGTAGACTGCATCTCTGAGCATTGGACATGATTGGACAGGAGAAAAGAAAAAGACTAAGGAAAGGGATTTTTCTTTGGGCAATTCTACCTGTTAGCACATGTAATTTCTTATTTGGGCAGGCAGAGGGTGCTGGTCTTGGTGCTGGTGGCAATTGGGGAGGTATGGCAAGCCAGAAATTAAAAACAGTTCCATGTGAGCCAATGGACACTGGATCCACAAGCTTTCCTTGCAAGGATTTTATTGCATGGTCATTTTTGTAAACAATATGTTTTCTATATTATCCTTTATTTTTTTATTCTGATTTTGTAATTATTCCATTTTGAATATACAACTTTAAACATATCGGTTCGTACGAATCTACTGTATCTCTAATGCTAATCTAGGACTAGGGGGTAGAAGTTTTTAACCGAGTGTTGCATTGGACCTGCAGATCCTTTGGACCAGCCAAAGGCAAGAAGAAATAGTTTAGGTTCTTCCTAATCTTCAATATTTTAATTTAAATCCTTTAAAAAAAAGGTATAGAGAGTCAAAGACCAGCCTGTGTATTGTTGCAGCAGTGATTGCTTTCTTTTCAATTTCAGTGGGAAATGCAAGCTGAATTTGCAAGTCCTTAACTAATATGGCAGCCAAAATACAGGAGTGCTTCAATTTATTTTTTCATTCTCTGTATTTTGTTTGTATTGCAGTTCTCTAACCAAAGAGGAACATGCATGTTAGAGAAATAAACATACCTGATTTGCAAAAGGATAGCTTAGAGAAAACATGATAAAGACGTGCGCATTAGGGGAAATAATCACGCGCACATAAAACATACTAGGAACTAGGGTTTACTTCCTCACCCCAGAAAGTGTATGTCCATTGTTTTGTGTCCTATTATCTCCAAAGCTAATTTATGTACAGGATCACCTCTGAATTATTCAGTGCTTCCAAATAAAGGTGGTAGAGCACTAACAGCTAGGCAGCTACTCAACTACTTATAATGATGTACTCTTCATTTCACAGTGCCTTCAAAAAGAAGTTGACATGTTTAGTAAAGATAACCCCAACTGATTCCTTCATGGTCTTCCACAATGATTCTCTTGTGTTGTTCGGCAGCTGGTTCATTCATTCAATCTCCCTGCAGGTTTTGCAGTTGCATGCATCAGCTTATAGGTAGTTGAGGGTCAGTTCACTTCAATTAGAGCAGCCAAGGTTCCATTTTAGCACAGAATCCACCTCTTAGTCAAATACATTCTATTGAGGAATGAGATCCTTCACAAATTCACGGTCCAGATTGAGAAAATAACAAGTGTTGCAGGTCATGATTTGTGACTGGGACTAGAAGGGAGGAAGTCCTATGGATTTCTCTTGGTTCTAACATGGAGACAACTTGTTATTAGAAGCTTTCTTAGACTTAGCTTGTATGCTGTCAAAATGCTGTCATGCACCATTGGTGATATAGATTGATTTTATAATTTAAATAATTAGTCTTTGACTTACAATCACAATGGGAACCTCTGTTGCTAAGCGATGCAATCGTTAAGTGTGTCACATTGAATTTTATGACCGTTTTGCCACATTTGTTAAGAGAATCACCACCATTGTTAAGGAAACTACACTGTTGTTAATGTGAATTTAGTACCCCCACTGAGTTTGCCTATCAGAAGCCAGCTGGAATGGTGATCACATGACTACAGGACGCTGCAACTGTTATAAATGCACGCCTGAATTTGGATCTCAGGACTGCAAGGATGCTGCGACGGTCATAAGTATAAGGACCAGTTTGTAAGGCACTTTTTTTCAGCACCGTAATTTTGAGCAGCCACTCAATAGCTGGTTATAAGTTGAGGACTGCCTCTTATTACATTTTCTCTATGGAGATTGTGGCAATTGGAACAGATTCACCATCGGCAGTAGAAGGAAGATGTAATTACTTCCATTCTTCAGCACAATTGCAAGTCGATAAATGAGGCAGATGAGGTAAGACTGTCAACAAAACAACCAACATATCTGGGAAATGGTTTGTATTTATAATTAACTCGTACAGTAGATGCTGAGTTGGGCTACTTTGCATCTAGGAAATCCTTGCAGTGCCAAGGCTAGATTCCATAGCTGAATTCAGCCGCTCTTATTTCTGATTCAGGTCATCAGTTATTAAGGTTTTGCTTCAAAGCGATTCGGAAGATCAGCTTTGGAATTGCACAGGGTCAAGCACAGCATACCTTTAAAGCAGCCACATCTTTTTTTTTCAAGCTTCCTGCTTTAAAGATGGGCAAACCCCCTCTCCTAAACCATTTTCATGATTTTCTGAGCACGCATCATCGTCTTATGTCTGATTTGCCATTATTTAATTGCAATGCCATCACCAGTTCATCACTGTTTTCAAGAGGTGAGAAAGGATGCAGAAAGCTCACTGATAGAAACTACTGAATTTGCTAGGAATCCATATAAATCACTAGGACTATTAAGAGATAGACATCTTTCGACTTAAGAGCTGGATAAGTGGAAAGAAATCAATTGGAGATCAAAATGGGTGAGCACCTTTCTGATGGCAGAGTCCTTACTTAACTTTCTGTGGATAGCCAGGGCTTGGCTGGTATAAAAATGGAACAAAAGAAAAGGAGTTTGGATTTTCTGATTCCTTGCTCCCTTGAGAGTTGGGAGGGAGAGTTAATTAGGTGAAGTCTATTTTAGAAGATACACCATATTTTCAGGGAACGCCCCTTCCTTAAATATTAAGAAATCATGCCATTAATTATGGATAGGGTTCACTTGGGTAACCATGGATGAAGAACTCCCTTGCAGCAGGCAGGCAATATTTTCACTGTAGGACAAGACAGCATATCGTGCTTGGAATGGGAGAACAATTGCCATGGCCAACTCAACCCCAGCCAACTCACCAGAGTCAACTCACCACAGCCAGCCTGGCATGAGAGAATGCGCCATAGGATAATTCAACAATTCAATTATTTTAAATAATTAAAAACATTTTAATTTCTGCCATTCACATTTCATTTTGTCCCTCTTTTTGCATCCTTTCTTTAATGATTCTATTCCTCCATTTCTTCAATATTAATATAAAGGGTAGTTGGCTGCAGCAAATCGGCCATTTGTATTGGCCACAGTGAGTTGGCCAAGGCAAGTTGGCCATGGCGAGTTGTCCTAGACCCTACAGTGTTTCACTCATCCTACAAAGATGCTCTACTGCTCCTCCTCTCCAGTGTAACAAATGTTTCCAGGTACATACAAACTGTATACTTTACTGTCTTTCACATTGCAGGTTGTCTTCAACTTAACAACGTTCATTTAGTGACTATTTGAACTAACTACAACACTGAAAAAAATGACTTATAATTGTTTTTCACACTTACGACTGTTGCTGCAGTGTCCCTACGGTCGTGTGATGAAAATTCAGACACTTGGCCAATGACTCATATTTATGACGGTTGCAGTGTTCCAGGGTCATGTGATCACCTTTTGGCACCTTCTGACCAGCAAAGTCAATGGGGAAGCCAGAGTTTACAAACTACCTTATTGCAATTGTTAAGTGAAATCACTGAAGTTGTTAAGTTAGTAACACGGTGGTTGAGTGAATCTGGCTTCCCCAAAGATTTTGCTTGTCAGAAGGTCACAAAAGAAGATGACCCCGGGGCAGTTGTAACAGTCATAAATATGAGTCAGTGGCCAAGTGTCTGAATTTGCATCACATGACCATGTGGAGGCTGCAATGGTTGTAATGGTGGGAAGCAATCATAAGGCACTTTTTTTTCAGTTGCAGTTGTAACTTCTGATGGTCACTAAATGAACAGTTGTACTTGTAGTAGTAGAGTTTATGATTTTGGACTTCTAGGTACAAGACCACTAAATACAAAATCTTTAAAACCAACGAGAGAGAGAGAGAGAGAGAGAGAGAGAGAGAGAGAGAGAGAGAGAGAGAGAGAGAGAGAGAGAGAGAGAGAGAGGGAGAGGGAGGGAGAGAGAGAGAAGGGGAGGGAGAGAGAATGTCTTGACATTTTATGGTAGCCCCAAATCATCCCAATTCATATCCTACATCTGTGTAGCCAGGTGGTGCCTGTGATGGTGAGTGGATCTTTTGAAAGCTGACTTCCAAGATAATGTGTTTGTCTGAAATGAAATCCTAGTCTTCTCCTGATTTGGGGCATCTTACATTGCCCTTGTCTAGCATCTCTAGCCTTTACCCGGATATAGTGGAGGGACAGAACAACATTCAATTCCCTTCCTGGCACATGGGGGGAGGGGTTTTCCCTTCTAGAATCATATGGGTCTTAAACAAGGATGTCCTCATGCATTGAAGGAGATGCAATCCATTTCAGAGCTCTCAGGACCTCGCTGAATGTGTAGGAAAGCTGAAATTCTGCCCTGACGTTTCTCAAACGTTTCTCAGGAGAATGAATTACGGAGTTTGCCTCGAGATAATAAGCTGCTTTTTAAAAAGAAAAGGCATCCCTTTCGTTGGCATCCGTTTATTGCTCCTAGCAATAAATTCAAGCACTGGATCGAGAGAACAGCCTTAGCCACGTGCTAGGTGAATGATCTGCTGGCCTAGTTCCACATCTAGAAGAGAGGAGGGAAAGGCTACTTGTATTGCATTAGGGAAATGTGGACTTTCATAACTGAAGTGATTTGCCAGGAACTTCAACACCCTCCTGGTCTTGGGCGGATGTGGGAAAGAGACGCTGACAGGAGTTGTCAGAAGGGAGGGAAGCATGACAGTGTTTCTCTCTTAATGTTTGCAGAGCACTGCTACGGTCAGACTACACTGGAACCAGAAACCGCAGCACACTTTTTAGTAACTATGGTAACTATGCCTCCAAAATAATGCTACTTGTTGCTAAAAATCAATCCAATAGTTATTCTTATCTTATCTTCCAACTCTTACTACATTTCCTGACTGTGTTTTGGGTTTTTTTTTCTGCTGGCGAATAATAATAATGTGCATTACAATATCTGTGGGAAACATCATTTGCAAGAATTGGTGGGATGACAAAATAGACAAAGAGAAAATGAAGAAGCTAAAGTGTTCTGGGACTTTAGAATTCAAACAGACCTTCTACATAACACCCTGCACTTAACTATTGTTGATAAGAAAGACAAAACTATTTGGATTCTGGACTTTGCAATACTTGGAGAGAAGAGGAGAGGAGAGGAGAGGAGAGGAGAGGAGAGAGAAGAGAAGCAAGAAAAGAGAAAAGAATAGAGGACAGGAGAGAGGAGAAGAGAAAAGAAAGGAGACAAGAGGAGAGAAGAGAAGAGAGGAGAAGAGAAGAAAAGAAAAAAGAGAATCACAAAATAAAAAGATTGGCAAATAGAAGTAGAACAAAAGTGGCAAAAGAAAGCAAAATAGTATCAATAACAACAGGCACCTTACATGAAATTCCAAAACAATTGAAGCACCACTTGGATACCATCGGCAGTGCAAAAGGCAGCTTTACTTGGAACGGCTTACATCTTGCAACAATATCTTTAACATCTGCCTATCCCAGGTCTTTGGGGAGAACTTGATAGGTGGATAAAAATCCCAAATCCAGTTTAAACATCTGGCTGGCTATGTGACCAATCCCAAATAATAATTCAATTTGATATATATGCCACCCAATTCCGAGCAACTTTGTGAGGTCAGGGCAGAAATCCTTTTAATTAAAAAGAAAAGACATGTTTCTACAAAATGTGATTTCCCAAGCATGCTCTGACTATTTTTGCATTCAGTGCTTAAATGTACAGTTAGAGCTAACGGAAAACGGATACCACATCTATCTGGGTTATTCCTGCTGGAAAAAATTTTTGCCTGGGATTTCCTTGTGCATATCTCATGTTGGAAATATTAGATGCAGCTTTCAATAGAGTGTATTTCTCAGTAATTCTCAGGGTTGGGCTGTTGTAAAAAATCCTGGGAAGGCCCTGCCCTGAATAATAAAATTAGCTGTTTTATCTGCATTGTAACAATAAGGACTAGTGTACTTTTGAAAAAAAAAAAAAAGGTCACAACTATTTTAACAAAATCTAGTACCTTCGTTCATGTCTCTCTTTTGCCTGCCTCCCTCCACCCCCAAATCATCAATAACCATGCACAATTCTAATCCCCCAGATCTTTTTTTTAGAGGAGACTTCAGATCACACAGATTTCTGCAGGAATCCGAGAAACCCAGCCCTGTTTGCTTTGCACCCCCGAAACTTGTTTACCTTGTTTGGGAAATCACGTAAAGTGGTGACTTTGACTTTTGGCTGACGTCCTGTTTCCCCGCCTCCCCTTTCTATCTCCTTGCCAAAGAAATTTTGGTTTCTGTGTGCTTGTCTTGTTCTGGAATGAAAAGCGTCAACAAGAGAAAGCAACGGGGTGGAAGGGTTCCAAGGAGGAAATTCTTTGCCCCAAACTTCCTCCCTGCTGTAACCACTCCCTCGTCTGCTGACAGTCCTTTGGAAATGAGACTGCCGCCCATCTCCAGCTAGATTTTAATGGTCTTTTAAGCAGGCATGGCCTCCTTGGTGGATGACCCCGTGGAGAAGCTTCAGGAGGAGGTATCTTGTTCCATCTGCCTGGAGTATCTGAGGGAGCCAGTGACCATCGACTGTGGCCACAACTTCTGCCAGGCCTGCATCTCAGACTATTGCAACCAAGGAGCCGGTTCCACAACTGGGGCAGCTCTCTGTCCGCAGTGCCGGGTGGGGTTTTTGCTAAGCAGCTCCCGCCCCAATAAGCAGCTGGCCAATATCGTGGAGGGCATTGAGCGGCTGGCTCGGAGGCCCAGCCAAGGGCTTGTTGAGGCCTTGTGCGAGAAGCACGGCAAAAAGTTGAGGCTTTTCTGCCAGGATGATGGAGAGTCCATTTGCTTGGTGTGTGACAAATCTCGGGAGCACCGTATGCATTCGGTCCTGCCCATCGAGGAGGCCGCTCATGATTACAAGGTAAGGAGGGAGCTGGGCTTGGATTCCAAACAGGAGAGCTATGAGTGAAAACAGGCTGGGGTTCTTTGCCTATCCAAATCCTCCATGGCTCACTAGGGAAGTTTTGGGCCAGTTATGCATGCTCAATCCAGCCTACCTGATAGGGTTGCTGTTTTGGAAGGAAGACCTCTTAGGGAAACTTCCTTTGCTGTTGGAGAGAAAGGGTGGTGGTGGGTATAGATGAAGCAAAAAATGCAGGAAACTCTTTTACCATTCTTAGATTCAAATTGTTCAGGCAGTATTCAATTGTTCTTCCTTGACCCTTGAGCTCTGCTGGAAGGGCAGTGTTGTTGCATGTAAATAATACACAGTGATGAAATTTGCATAAACTACACAATGACATTCTCATGTAGGGGACGTCATTGTGACTTCTAACAGTTGTATGGGCCTATATGTTCTCTTTTTTTGTTTTTGTTTTAAAAAGCCCTCCATTACCATCAACTTTATATTGGTGGGGGGGGGGGAAATACATATATGATGAAGTGGCTCTCTCAACCCCCGTGGCATTGAGGGGCTATGAAACTGTGCCAAGAGCATTAGTTAGGCTTTTGGAGAATAACACAAGATTAATTTTGCTACTTTTAAAATCCTTACTGCATATTCCTTGGGAAAATTAATCTTCACCCTTGCTCTAGGGATCTCTGAACAACCTAGAAGATTTTGTGAACATTAAAAGGAGGGGAAAATGTTGCCTTCCTTCTCTTGGCTTTTTAGGATTCTTGAAATAGTACATATGGGTCTCCTTGTGGCCTCCCATCCAGGCACTTTTAGTTTCCAAACTCTTACAGCATCGGCTGCTCTGAGATTCCTTTCTGAGTCACATCATGCTGTTTTGATTAGCTTGAAACTCTTAGATTCTTTCAAAATTGCAGATATTTTAAAGTCAATATTCCCTCATATCCCCATCCAATTTTATCCTTGCCTTCTTCAAATGCTGCCTATAATCCAGAGGTGGTTTGCATGGGGGGTGGGGGGGAGAAACAGATTGACTGACTGACTTTTAGCTTTCAACAACTGAGAAATTTCCAAACAAAGCCTGGCAGGAACCATGCAACGTTACAAGTTTACAGAAAGGATGTTGTCCGTGATTTGTTTTTATTTCTAAGCCCTGAAGAAGTAGCCCTGGGATGGAGTGGAACTCCTAATGAACTCCTAGTGGAACTCCTAATGAAGTCCAAAAAGTTACTTCCCTCCCCCTTAAACAAGTAATCGCCTGCTTTGGTAGTCTACTAAAAGCAATAACAATGAAGCCCTTGCAAAATGTTAAGAGAGATAAGTCCCTCGCTGTGAATATGAGAATGATAAAAAGCTATTCATCAGCTTGTTTCATTTTAACCAAATTATACATCTCTGCTTCTTACAATAGCTATAGCTTCTAAAAAGATCTGCATCTTAGAACCAAAGTGTTACGAACTAACTAAATAAACTCATTAAAAACTCTTCAAGCTTCGCTCCAACCGTAGGCTCGTAAACCTGCAGTTCAGATTGGTCCGCAAGTAAGTGATCATGATTGGCTGCCTTCGGCTAACCTGATTGGCTGACAGCGGCCGTCCCGGATTGGAAGACTAAGTGCGGTTAAACTCGTTCTCATTGGTTATTGAGGCAGCAGTCAGCTCTATAAAAGAGCTGCTGCTACCCAAGTTGGTTGCTCTGTTCTGAAGTCACTATTAAAGAGTTGTGTCACTACCCGATGCCTTGTCTCCGTTATTCCGCTCACTCCTCCAAACATAACACTGGCGACGAGGGTGGGATGCGGAGACAATAGAGCCAACTGTGCACTCGCTGTGCACCGAACAGAGCACATGGCTGAAAGAGCGTCAACAACGTCAAGATGGCCAGCGGCGCCATACCACCCGCTCCATTTGACCCGGCTAACGAAGACTGGGACTCGTATATGGACAGGTTCCAGATGTTTTTGGAGACCAACAACCTAAAGGACGCTTCGCCTGGCAAGAAACGAGCTGTCTTCCTGACTCATTGCGGGCCTGCTGTTTTCAAAATGGCTAAGGCACTTGCAAAACCTGCAGAGGTTAAGTCAATGGATTGGGATAACCTCGCTCCTATTCTTCTGGCCCATTATGCACCCGCGGTGCCAATCCTCATCAGAAGACACGAATTTTACCAGAGGGACCAACGGAAGGGCGAGAGCGTTAGAGACTTCATCGCTGACCTCCGGAACCTTGGTGGACTCTGTGATTTCTCAAACCTCGAAGAAGCTATGCGAGACCGCATAGTTCTGGGATTAGATGACCACACGGCACACAGCAAGATCATGGCCAAAGGGGACATCGATCTTGCCGATGTCATCGCTGACGCTACTGCAGCAGAGGCAACCAGGAAGTCGGCCGCTCGAATGCGCCACACCAACGCACCGCTCCGTCAACTCGCCAATGATACTTCGCCTTTCCCAGAAAAGCACTCAACAACGGCGCACCATGAAGACCTCGAATCCCCATCGGATAGTGAGGAAGAAGAGGTAAACCGACTCCGGTCAGAGCGCGACCAGCGAGACCAGCGAAGCCAAAAACCTTCGCGTCAATGCACTGGTTGTGGGGCAAATCACCCGCGAGCTGATTGCAAATTCCTCGATGCACTCTGCCATTCCTGCGGAAAGAGGGGCCATATCGCAAAGGTCTGCAGGAGCAAGCGAGGGTCAAGCCCAATCCGTAGAGAGAACAACTCCCGCCAAACTACGGGCAGTCCACCCGTAAACCGGGATCACCTGAATCACCAATGGAACCACTATCACTACAGAAATCGAGTGCCTGCTGCGTCAGCTAGACGAGAAGAGACTCATCAAACCATCACCATCGGTCACGCCTCATCCTTGGATGCAAGGAAGATCCGAGTGAGGGTTGCCATTGAGAATCGTCCATGCGTAATGGAAGTAGACTCGGGTTCATCCCTATCAATGGTCTCGTGGAGGACCTTCAAACAGCTGATCCCTGACATCCGTCGTCAAGACCTCAGCACCCAGAAAGTCATATTAAGGGACTATCAGGGAAACCGAATTCCCATTGCCGGGTCCCGCCATGTCCAGGTCTCCTTTAAAGACCACACAGCAACTCTGCCTCTTACCATCGTAGATCGAGACCGGCCCAGTTTGTTGGGTTTACAGTGGTTCGCTCCACTGGGAATTGAACTAGCCGGCATTCACCTGACCGGGAGCAGTGACTGGGAAGCCGCCCTCATCCAGGAGTTCCAGGACGTATTCACAGAAAAGCTAGGCAAGTACAAGGGGTCCCCCATATCGTTTAGCCTCAGCCCCGGTGTTGCGCCCATACGCCTTAAGCCTCGACGAGTGCCCTTTGCACTCAAACCAAAGATTGATGAACAATTGGACAAATTGATAGCCCAAGGGGTGTTAGAACCAATCGATCACGGCCGTTGGGAAACCCCGATTGTAACACCCATAAAACCGGATGGATTGATAAGAATTTGTGGGGATTATCGAGCCACCCTAAACCACGCGCTTCAGCAAAGCGCTTATCCTGTACCGGTGATTCAACATCTGCTTCACTCCCTGGGCGGCAGAAAAATCTTTGCAAAATTGGACCTTGCCCAGACATACTAGCAACTACCCGTAGATGCAGAGACTGCTGAGGCCCAGACTATCGTCACGCACAGAGGTGCGTTTAAATGTAATAGGCTCCAGTTCGGTGTGAGTGTAGCACCAGGCATTTTTCAAAGCCTGATGGAGCGATTGCTGCAAGGCATAAAAGGGGTCGTGCCTTATTTCGATGATGTCTTGATAGCTGCCCCCACTAGAGACGTGTTGGAGACCCGACTCAGAGTGGTTCTCCAAAAATTCAAAGATGCTGGGTTAAAGGTAAAGAGAGACAAGTGTCAACTTTGTACTGAGAAGGTTGAATTCCTGGGGTACCTCCTTGATAAAAAGGGAATTCATCCTATCGAAAAAAAAGTAACAGCCATAAAAAACGCCCCCAGACCTAGGAATAAAACGGACCTCCAAGCCTTCCTGGGACTCATTAACTTTTATAATATCTTCTTGCCCCGGAAGGCGACTGTAGCTGAGCCCCTACATCGTCTGCTAGACAAGAAAGCTTCCTGGGTCTGGGGACAACGGGAAGAACGAGCGTTCCAGCAAGTAAAAGATCTCTTGACCTCCGACGCTGTATTAATGCAGTATAACGAGACTTTGCCTTTAACAGTCACGTGTGACGCCTCGCCGTTCGGGGTGGGAGCCATTTTAAGCCATGTCCTACCAAACGGCAATGAGGCACCTATTGCTTTCTTTTCCCGAACATTATCAAAGACTGAAAGGAACTATAGCCAACTCGATAAAGAGGCTCTTGCTATTGTAGCCACTATTAAATGTTTTCATGAATATGTGTATGGACGGCCGTTTACTATAATAACCGACCACAAGCCACTGCTTGGCATATTAGCGGGGGACAAGCCTACTCCCCACATTTTATCATCAAGGATGACCCGTTGGTCAGAGTTCCTAGCCGCATATGGTTATCAACTGCTACACCACCCGGGGAAAGCCATTCCCCACGCAGACGCGTTGAGCCGTTCTCCGCTGCCGGAAGCCATAGACGATCCAGCTCCAACCCTTACGGCGCTCCAGATCGAAACTCTCCCTTCGCCACCTCTGACTGCACGAGACATCGCAGCGGAAACAAAGAAGGACCCCACATTGGCTCGGGTCCTCAGCTGGGTGGAACGAGGTTGGCCTAACAACGAACCCGACAACATCTTCACACCATTTAAAAACCGACAAACGGAGCTGTTTTCACAGAAGGGCTGCGTTTTGTGGGGAGACAGAGTCATCATTCCTGAAAAATTACAACACAGCGTCCTAAAACTATTGCACGACGGTCATCCCGGCATCGTGCGGATGAAGGCGTTAGCGAGAAGCTACACGTGGTGGCCGGGCATCGATAAACAAATAGAAGCCTGGGTAGCCACCTGCAACAAGTGCCAGGAAATCCGCGCTGCCCCACCGAAGGCACCTCCAACTGAATGGGATCCACCTCGTGGCCCCTGGTCCTGCATCCACATTGATTTTGCGGGACCCACCAAGGGACACACTTTTCTAATAACGGTGGATGCCTATTCAAACTGGCTTGAAGTCCACAAGATGAAAAGCACCACAACAGAAGCCGTCGCTAAAAAGT